GCAGGCTGCCCAGGACCATGTCCAGGCGGCTTCTGAAGGTCTCCAAGGAGGAGACCCCACAGCCTCTGTGGGCAGCCTGTGCCAGTGCTCAGTCACCCACACAGCGCAGAAGTGCTCCTGGTGTTCAGATGGAGCCTCCTGTGTCCCAGGTTGTGCCCATTGCTTCTAGGCCTGCCACTGGGCACCACTGAAAAGAGCCTGGCTCCATCTTTTTTGTACTCTCCCTTCAGGCATTTATAGACATTGATGAGATCCCCCTGAGCCTCCTCTTCTGCAGGTCCCAGCTCTCTCAGCCTGTTCGTGTAGCAGACGTCCTCCAGTCCCTTCATCATCTTTGTGGCTCTTTGTTGGACTCTTTCCAGTATGTCCACATCTCTTCTGTACTGGGGGGTCCAGAACTGGGCACAGTGCTCCAGGTGCAACCCCACCAATGCTGACTAGAAAGGAAGGGTCATATAGCAGTGGAGAGGGATCACCTTCCTGAGCTTGAAAGACGCTGATCCCACTCCACTACTAAAATACATCTTTCATAAAATATGAGTTTGCTTTTTACAGGATGGGCAAATCCTTTCATAACTTGACTGGATTTATTGAAGCCTATTGACTGTGCTGTACAAGCACTTCAGCAACCCCTGAAAAATTGCTTAGGTCACCACTTGCAGGGGATCTCTCACATTTTTATGCCTGCCCCATACATACACATGCATGTAGTTTGCATTGTATGTTCAACATGTATATATGGAGTTTGATTCCCATTGTCACATTACCTGAGCACCTCCTTTTGCACTTTTGAGAAGGGAAACACTATTATCCCTGCTTAACAAATAGCTGACTGAGGCATGAGGAGTGTAAAGCCCAGATAAGGGGTGTCTGCACCCTCCCAACCTCTCACTGGAAGTCCAATGGGAATTAGATAAGAAAATGCTTTTGGGGTTGTGCAGCTTAATTACTTTTCTGGGGTCACTGAGCACAGCTATAAAGAATTAAGTTTAGATTTCAAACTAGCACGTTATCTACCAGACCATCTCCCTTTCCCTGTCCATGGAGGTAGAATTATAACATTCACCTAAGACAAAAAAGTTGCTGTCCTTGGCAAGTACTTACATACTTGACTGAGTAGTTTCTTTGGTTTCATAGCTTAATTCAAATCCAAATATGAATCCAATTATTTCTCAGCACCCTAGGAATGTGATTTTTCTATGACTGCTGGTTTTGAATTGTCACTGCTTTGAAATCTTTTAAGCTAGAACTCTTAGACATTACACACATTTATACCTGTCACATTGCATTCTCCTGCTTGCTTTTGAAAAGAAGGAATCATTAATGTTGCTTTTTGTTTGTTTGCTTGTTTGTTTCTCATGGGAAAATTTATTTTCTCTTTCTAGAATTACATTGAAATAGAGAATTAAAATTGAGCCTTTGTGCTTTTTTCAGTTAATTGGCTACTGTACACTATTTTTCTCTCAAAACTGTGTGTTGACTTATTTAATGCATGCCATTGTCATTTCCAAAGCTTTCATTTTGCAGGGAATTTAGATGCACATCTTTGGTCCTTTGAATGTGACACATCACATTTCTACAAACGTTTGCTTTTTCTTAATTCCTCTGTTCTTTGAAGGCATCCTTCTCTGTGGTTGAGATGCATTCCAGCTTAAAATTAAGTTCCCTCCCAACACCAGCTGTTTTCTTCAATTCCCTTTGAAATAGGAGCCTGTATGCAAGGGTATGAATGACATGTGGCAGGTAAAATGCATTATCCCTGGGGCTATCTCTTGCTTCAAAATTTGGTGCCTTAAAGCCAGGCATTTGCCTTGGGAGGTGAAATGCACAACCCTGCACCCTGTTGGGCACCCACGGACCCCTTTATAACGCACACAAGAGCACATGGTCTCAGGCTGGGACCCAAAATGGTCAGCAGTCCAGGCAAGTCTCACAGATCTGTTACACTGAGGGCAAGGCAGGACCTAAACACCAGTCTTCAGGCAGCTCAGCCAGCATTATGGGCTGGCATCCCCAGAGGTGATTCATTAGAGTGGATCATCATGGATTTTTCTTTCACAGAACCAAGCATGACTCACTCTTCTAAAACTGGACTGGAGGAAAAGATGGCCCACATGTTCCCCTTGGCATGATAGTTTGAGTTTTCTAAACAGTCCACGGCAAATTTCCCATTTCTGATTGTACTGTGGGACAAATTTGATGGCATTACCCATCTACAAGCACAAAGAAACATTTCCATTTTTTGTTGAAATCAAGTACTTCTTAGGGCATGCTGGCATTTCTTCTGGTTCCTGATTCCTAGTCAAGAATAGAGAGAGGTGCCAACTCGTATCTTACTATGACTTATAGTGCCTCAAATTTCTTATCAGATGAGGTGATTCAGGAGCTGTGATTCAGAGATTGACTTGTACTTTGGTAGTAAACATTTACCTTCTGGGTTGGGCTTTTTTGTTTGTCTGTTTGTTCTTAGATTTGCTATATAAGGTCTGAATGGTTTTACTGGATAGGCTTCTCAGGTGCAAATCTGCAAAGTCAGTGCAGAAATAGCATGACTGCAGCAATTTTAGGCCTATCAGCCTGACTCAGGGAATGTATCTGGAAAAGATCCCTGCTCAGTATACTTTCAGAGTGCAGTTGTGATAATCGTGTCCAGGATTGTAAATATTACCCTCCTCTTACCCTCCACACTTACCCTGGGAGGTACTTCAGATACCTCTATCCCTGACCTGCAAGCTCTGTCCACATGTAGAGCAGCAGGTCCGTGCAGCTGTCCTGGCTGTGTCCCCTCCCAGCTTCTTCCCACTTTCTAGGGGGGCAGAGTGGGAAAAGGAGAAAGCCTTGGGGCTGTGCAAGCATCCTTCAGCAAGAGCTCAAACATCGACGTGTTATCAACTCTGGTTTAGCCACATATCCAAACCACAGCACTATATGGGCTGCTGTGAAGAAAGTTAACTCCATCACACACAAGGTCACACAAACTCCTGCTCAGGAGGGAAAAAGATTAATTAAATCCCGTTCCCATTGCTTGTTCCTGCTTTTTACACCACAACGTGGCAAGCAACCACACAGGGCCAGTCTGGGCAATAAGGAGAAGAAACAGGGGCTCCCTGCCCTGGTGAATGCAAGGTCCACTAGACCAGTGCAGGCCACTTGTGTTCCCCTCCCTCCAGGGGTGTCTGACACCCATTTTTGTGCCCTCAGACAGCTTCAGCACTAGGGCTCTTCCCATTCAGCCCCAGTTCCTGGAAGAAGTTCTTCCAGATCCTCTACTGGCATGGGAAAGAATTCAATTTACCATGCTTACCTTAGATAAAAAAGCCTGGTATTCAGCATTTCTGCACCTAGTGAGATGCCAGATGTTGCTGGAGTGTGCTGGATGTGTTATGGGATGCAGAACTGGACAGATTCAGCCCCCAGGTTGCCTAGCATGGAGCCATGTCTGCATCTGGGCTGGGACATGGGCACTGAGCAGTCCATTTCTTTTCATTTTTCTTTAAAAATCTACCATGATCTTCAGTCTTTAAGTAGTTAATACTACTATCATTAGCAAGATGCAGGGAAGTGTTCAACTTGAGATGAAATGCATAGTTATAATTGTCTTTGTCCTTTTTTGATCTGTTGGTGCACCAGAAAGAACCTGAGCACTCTATGTTCACCAGGATAACAAAGGCAACCTGTATGTTGCCACACACACATTGACTAGTGCCAATAGTAATTAAATTTCAGTGTCACAGGATCAAGACAAATAAAAATACTAATGGCAGGAAATCAGCTCTACTGTTTATAATACACTCAATTACAGCTGTGTCTATTCAGAGGTGGGGAGGCAAGGAGGAAGTCTGAAGCCTTAGGTATTTCATAGGCCATCAAATCGCAAGATGGAGCCAGATCCGTCCACATAAATATTTATACTCGAGAGACAAAGCTGCAGCACGTTCTTGGCTGATGTGAAGAGTCTTCAGCTGATGTGAATTTTCAAGGCTTGTTCTTTCCAGCAGGGCTGTGACAATTCACATCAGCAGAGAGGCTGCTACTCTGTAATTAGTCAAATCTTGGAACAGGAACTGCTGTCACCTTCCCATCTACCCTGCTCTCTGCGCACAGTTGCTACTTAACCAGCCGCAAAAAGCGCTGCGTATCAGAGCATCTCAACAGTGCACTGAGCAGAAGAATATCTGGGATTCGGGCTCTCTGTCAGACAGGCAGAGCCACAGACAACAACAGCATTAATTCAGGATCTTTAGTTGTATTAGAAGATCAAAGATCAGCAGATCAAAGGCGACAGTTTCTTTTCAAAAAGCCAGATGCAAGAGTCAGGATGAAGATGCTCCTGAGCCATCACTGCTGGTTTATGGTGAGAGAGCTGGTGCAGTGTGGGCGGCCAAGCTCTCCCATCTGGGCACGAGCATCTTCCTCTGATCACAGCCTGGGTCAGTCCTGCACACATCAGGTCTGCAAAATTGGCTTGTGCCCTGAGTGCTGCATCTAGAGAAGCAGTGTATTAGTGCACATAAAATAACAGAACAATTGCTGAGGTGACATGGACAAGAAAAGCCATTATAAAATGGAAACAAAACAAAACAACAACAACAAAAAAGTTAATGACATTTTACTGTATAAAGCGAACACAAAGCCCAAGACAAACCAGGGTTTTCCCATAGGCTGTGCAGGACACCCCTGGCTCCAGTGTGGGCCTGGGCTTGCAGGGCCTGCCCTCTGCCATCGCCAGCGCTACCTAGTCCTCCTCGCCAGGGAGGGCTGCTTCTTCAGCAGCTTATTGCTATTTCGAAGATGTGTTGCCCTTCAGGAAAATCACCGGAGTGGGCGTTTTGTTTCCAGAATTGACTTTTCCCGAGGCTTTCACAGCAGTGCTGTCTGCGTGGGCTCCCACGCTGTTCTCTCTGAAACAACTGAGGTTGATTCTGTTTTTGGCAGCTTGTACAGAATTTGATTGCTTTTGCTCTGGACCATGACTATATTTCTGCTTCTGGTATTTGCAGAGTCAGGACATGCCCTGGTACATGCTGTCCTTAAGGATGTCTGAATACAGAGGCCATCCCCTCTACTGGAATCAGCCCTGGCCACTTCTCCAGTGAAAATCATAAACCTGCAGAAGAGGGTAACCACAAGGCGCCTTCACACACCAGTGCAGATGACAGAAGTAATATGCAACTTCTTAAAAACAGAGTAAAGGGGTAGACGACATTCACCTTGGCATCACAGCACTATGAAGATGGACAGCTACTGCTCTCCTCTCTGACTGCACCTTCTTGCAACCGGTTCTTTGTCAAACAGACATTGACTTATCCCTGAGTGAATACTGTACAGTTTATCAGAGAGTAGATGAAAAGGTAAAATGCTTTCTGACCACAGCTTTACATCACCCCCTTCCTGCATAATTTGATTGTGGAACCTCCAGCAATCTGTGAACATAATTTCCAGACTATTCTTAGAAAGGAAATGTGTGTGTGAGAGTGAGAGAGAGAGAGAGTTGTGTGGGTGTGTTTATATATATGAATATATACATGTTTTGCTCATTGCCCTTTATTACCAAGTTTCTCGACCGCAGCCACATCTGGCCAGACCTCCAACAAGCAACAGCTTTGAGCGTGCAAGACCAGGAATGGCACCAGGCCTGGCTGGGCTCTGGAAAGTGCCAGCGTGCTGCCAGGATGGGCTTGCTCCTGTGCGTGGTGATGACCATTTTGGGCAGCTCTTGGTGTCTGAGAGACGTGAAGAGAGATCCCCATGGGTCATGGCCATGGTGGCCATGTATGGCCTGCAGGGTCCAGTGGGCTGGGGATTTAGGGATCACCACAGGCCACACATAATGACTGGAAACTGCCCGGAGTGCTTCTGGTTTCAAAACCACATCCATCCTGACTGGACTGCTGTTGGATGTCATCAAGGACCCGAAGTCCTGGGGGCCTGGCAGAGGCTGTTGGAGGTGGGTGTGCAGGCAGAGTGGGGCGGCACTGCTGTTCCCCATGCTGGGTCCCACGTTGGGTGTGACCAAGGAAGCCACCCCCTGCCTGTGGGCCTCTTTCTGTGACCCTGCCCAGATCCCACTAAGGGAGAGAGGAGCTTACAAGCCCAGAGGCCATCAAAACATGGCTGGAGCATGTACATGTGTTTGCCAGGGCTTATGGGAGGCTGGGGGGCCATTTTGTGCTGTAGCATAGGCGCAGCTGGAGTGGAGGGATGTAGGAGGGAAGGGGGAACAGCCGTGACGGGCCATTTTGTGCTGTGGCATGGGAACAGCTTGAGTGGAAGCTAGTCTGCATAGGGATGTAGGAGTGAAGGGGGAATGGCTGTGATGGCCATGGCCAGCTGCATAGCCAGGCTTGGATGCTCGGTGCTTCAGGTCCCCTTAATTACCAGCCTGTCAGTCTCCAGTAATATTGGAAGAACTGGTACAGCCGCCATTAATAAATAATTAAAGGAAGGCAATAAGCTTAGTGTTGCACAACCTAGATTTATGAAAGGTATTATAGTCTCATTTTAAAAGTAATATTACAATAGTTTGAGAAATTTGGCTAATAAACACGTGTAGCAATATGCTTAGACTTGTGTAAGGAAGCTTGCTTCATCATAACCCGTACTCTGACTAAGATAAAAGATAAGACAAAATTGACACTGGATCTTTGTCTTTTTCAGGAAAGATCCAGAAGAAAGCAATCATTATTGACAATGTTAGAGGAACTGGTAAAAATAAAACAAACAAGCAAAAACCGAACAACCTAACATGAGCAAATACTGCATGTTTTGGTTTGGTAAAATATATTATGGTATATCTAGGCACAAAAAATGCAGGTCACATTGGCCTACAAGGCAATCTGTCTTGCAGAGCAGTAATTCTGGAAGAGGTTGGCGCTCACTAACCTCTTCAGGAACCACCTCATCGGTTGTAATGAAATTGTAGTGTGATGTTGGGACCTTCAAGGTAAATGCTCGTTACTGAGCAGAAGCAGAAAGGTTTGTGGCCTCCACATTTGGTGCTGGTGCAGCTATGGTGTCCAGTTGTGAAGTGCACACTGCAACAGAGATATCAAAAAATAAGAGAAAGTTTAGCAAAGAGCAATGCCATCTGATTGCTCAAAGAACCTCTTACAGGTTCATCTGCTTGTCTTCTCTAAGCTATGCCAAAGGGTTTTGATGGTACTGACACTAATACAACAGCCTTCTGTCCTTGCAGTTGATAGAAGAGTTTATGTGAGAAATACAATTTTTTATTTTTTTTTTTTCACTAATGAGGGTGATGATTGATTGTCATAGACTTGATATCCCTGGAGAAGTTTGCAGTCAATGTTTTTTGAAAGATATCCTCAAATTCAACTGTAGCTACCTGGCTTGATGGTTAACGGCAATCACACAGCTCAGCTATATGCAGAACTGAAAGTTTGAGTTCAGTTATCTTCTCTTCCTTACATGCAATGTTCGACATCTTGGTGAATGTCAGAAAGCAACTAGATTTGTGTAAGTGAGTGCAGGGCAGGCAATAAATACACTCTTCCTTCCCTCTGGGGAGAGCCAGTGCTTGTGGTACCTGCTGTGTCCCAGTGCTAGCTATGCTGCTCCCAGCATGTACCCGAGCAGCAGAACAGACTTCTATTGCATACTAAGACATGTCAGATGTAAACTGTAGAGTCCCAGTGCTTATGTATCTTGGTGAACTCTATTCTAATCTCCAAGGCTATGCTGTGTGATTGCAGGGCACATCACGACTGATGACTTCACGTGAAGTCACCTGAAGTGTGAAGTCATCAATACTGACCTCGGTGCAGTGGGAAGGTGCCAAGGGGATGCAGGGTCCTGCGAATCCACCTTCATGCAGCCTTGATCCTCCTCCGGGTCCTTATGCTGGCATTTTGGGCCTCTCCATTCACTTGGGGGAAACTTTGCCAGCTGCAGATCTCTGAAGGAGAGCTGGATAGGAGACAGCTAGTGGCAGTGCCTAGGGCAAACTGGCAAATCCAGCTATGTACATGAAGCTCATCACTCCAGCACCTGCACCGACTATCTGCCCAGTCCTAATTGCTGGTAGCCAACACTTTAACTTCACCTCTTGTCTGTGTGGGCTATATCATGCTCTCATCCAATTGCATTAAGAGTGAATGGATGTAAAGCTCTGATCTTTGAAGCTTCTCATGGGTGGCTTTAAAGCAAAGCATTGTGATCATCACCTGCTACAACTCCAGGCTGCCAAATCACCCTCAGTGCCTGTTGGTACTTGCAGCCTTGTACATAACAGTTCACCTGGTGGCCTGTAAACAAGTGCTCCTGAAGGTGCTGTGTGGCTCTGCACAGCACACACAAACGGTCCAGCTGCAGTCCTCTGTCCTTCTCATCAGTCCCTGGAAACAGCATCGCTGGAAAAGTGCATTTAATATAATGCTGAGATTATGTCCATGTGTGCATACACAGATATCCACATAAGAGAGCTGTATATATATAATATATCTATACTACAGACCAAGTATAATACATAACATGTAAATAACATAATCATGAAGTACTACAGTGTATTTATATAAGCTATAGATGCACACACACATATGTACATGTATGTCTGCATGGAGCAAGCAACAACACGCGTCTGTGAGTATAATCGAATGCACGACCACCGCACACACGCCTGTCACTTTTTCTTAGCACCTTAAGCCTGGTGTGAATACACAGCTTATAAGGGCACTCAGCTGATAGCTCAGGCGTGGAAGCTTCTCATTCTGCCCTGTTCAACACTGTCAGCAGCCCTGTGAGCTGCTTAATCCTGTCCTGTTGATGCACAGCAATTTAGCTCGGATGAACCCATTTCTGGTGTGATAAGATATCGAGGCTGGCTGCGAGTAAAAACAAACCTCCAGGCTGGATTTGCACAAGCAGTCTTAACACAGGGGCTTTCTCCACTGTGAGGACTGTCTGTGAGCACTTCAAACCCATTTTTTCCTCTCAATTATTATCTTGAGAAAACGAAGGCTTTGAAGAGATTTTAGAATAAAGAGCAAAAACTAAAAATCTGCCATTCGGTGTGTTGTGTTTAGCAAAATCCTTTATTTTCACTTCGAATGCTCATTTAAAAGCAGGCAGCCAAGAGCACAAGACATTTGATTATTCTGTTGTTATAGGCAAGAAGGTTCAGGAACGAGGACAACAAACCAGATGTCATCACTATTACTTGAGACTCTTCTTTCAAAGGTCACAGATGCTAGGAGGCCAGGTCAGTGAGAAATGCTAGCTGCTTCCACAAGCTTCCTACTTCTTTGTTCTTTCTTTATGACTGTATATTCAAATACAGTAGCTCATCTGCTTTCCCAGCTCAGACTATTAAGATTTTGTGCATATATATATTCATCCCATTTCTGGTTTTGGATTTGATCATTGCTTTTAGTAAGGTGCAGAAGTAATTTTTGCTGTATAATCCTATAAAATCAAAGAATTATTCTTCCAAGGCTTCTTATTCTGTGTTTGAAAAAAAAGCAGCTACCAAATGTGAACTGCTTCAGTGCCATGGCTTGGTTTGCTGACCATATTGTAGCAATGAAGTTTGCAAAGCCTCACCTGACAAACTGTTAAAAATTTCCACACTGTCTCATTCTCCACATTGCAATAAATATCACACCCCACCTTAGAAGCAGTCAAAAGTCAGGTCTTTGGGACATTTGATACTTTATTTTTGTATCTTAGGCCACACTACAAAATATGTCTTCAAATCACTTTTTGATTTGCATAAACAAGGAATGTACAATTTCAGGTGTAAAAAGGCACCCAAGATAGTTTTTAAGTCCTTTTTGACTGGTCTTAAGAGACCTGTGCAGTACAAGCTATTTAAGCTGGCTCTTATTGTGTAAGGATAAACACCACAAGCACAGAGAAGTGACTTCCCTTCAAGACCAGTGCCTGGTGCGTAGGTGCACCTGCTGGAGCCGTCCCTTTGTCAGGCAGACACAAGGGATGCAGAGATATTTTTAGTCTTTATACATTTTTTTTTTTCTTCTAACCCATGAAGGACAGCATTCTGGGACAAGAACCACGTCATCCAGTGAGTCACGAGAATTGCCTGTAGGACAGTGTATTGTTTCCAGCCAGCGTGCAGCTTGCCAGGAGCGCAGACATGCTTTGCTTCCCATCAGTTCTCAGCAGCTCAGCCCCTGGCTCATAGCAAACACTCTCCCCTTGGTATTTCAGCAGGAATGCTCCTCAGTCATGAATTTTTCCACTGTCTTTTTACAGGTGCATCTTCTGTTTTTGCGCCAGGGATTCAACCATCCTGTTAGAGGTATCACCAAAATGATATTTCGGAGATATTCCACATTCCCTACACCTCTGCCAGCTCGGGGCAGGAGTCAGCCTGAAGTTGCAGCAGGTGTTCAGCACAAGCCTCTCTGCTTAGCACTTCCCAGCATAGAGACCAGCTTTGCTTATTTATACTTTGGTGCCTTCCTCAAGGATTTATCTCCAGGCCACCTCAAGCCATGGAAAGGGAACATGTGCCCCCCAAGCAGGACAAAGCAGGGCAGTTATCCCTCCACCCGTGGTACTCCTACAGCTGTTGTCCTCATTCCCTCTACCTGCTTGCCCTCAGACCACAGTCCCTGTCTTCTCCACTCAACAGACATTGTCACTCAGTCCATAAAATCCCTCTGTGGATGTTAAATACCCTTTGGTTTTGTTTCTCTATTTCTCAGGCAATGTTGTTGTGGATGGAAAATGTTCTTTTATCTCCTCTCTGTCCTCTCTAGTTTGGTTTCTCTCCATTTACTCCTTTTGGTGGCCAAGTTGCAATCCAGGACATATTACCTCCCACTCTTCTCACCTTCCTGCACCTGTCTGCAAAAGCACCTCATCTGCTTTGAACTGTTCCTGAAATAAAGGTACTGGTTCTGCTAGCAAAGGAGATGCCAAGTGAGACTTCTGAGCAGCTTATGTCAGAATGTGATTTAAATAATGCCTGCCTTTCCTTGGCACCAGGTGATGCTTCATGGGACTGAGCTTCCGAATGCAGAGCTGGGAAGGATGAAATATAACACTAACCTTTAAGGCATCTCCAGAAACTCTAAATGTGTCACTGATGAAATGTCAAGAGCAGTGCTCTTAGGTACTTTATCTAGGCTGTATGAAGTGAAAATCCAAGTGCTTTGCTACATGTGCTAATCGATACGTATCACTGAATCAAATCATTATGTAATACGTATGCCTTATTCTCCCTCTTCTCCATATGCACACTTCTAGGTGTTATCATTTTAAAATGAATGACATTTATTTGAAAATATGATGAGGGATATGTGCATGACTGTAGTATATGGCTTTGGACTCAGTCATCTGAGCGTGCATGAGCAGAAAAATGTCAAAGCTTCATTTAAAAGTATTCTGAGACATTTCTCTTGTGAGAACCCCTGAATTAGTCAATGCAGGGACCAAGAGCCACATCCAGGATGTGCTTCAAGAGCCCCCCAGAAAGCCGAGAGCAGTGCTGAGAGCCAGAACTCCTTTGGCACCAATCTCTGCAGGGCTCAGAAAGGTCAGGGAAGAGATTGTATGACATGTTGCCACTCCCAGAAAAATGAACTCAATGGTCAGGAGGTGTCTGTGTTCCTGAATGGCCGTATCAAGCACGAGTGTATGATCAGATTAACAGACCTTTTATGGTCCTAACCAAGCAGATTGCGTGTGTGTACACTGGTCGTCAGCATGGGAAATTCCTTTGGCTTTCAGGGGCTATTTAAGTGCATGAAGTTAAGCCAAGGTGTGATTGCAGTCTTCACAGCGGTTTTGCATGGCCTCCATTCCAAAACTAAGTTAATGCAATCGGGTCCTTGAGCCCACATTGAAATCGGATCTTCAACTGCTTCCACATGTCCACACTCTTGTCATACAACTTGTGCAACCGGAGAGGTAAAAGCACCTCTCACACAAGCAAAGTAATGGCCAGAATTTACATGGGAGAGTGAAAGGAATTGAAAAATGTGTTATCGTGATAGCACCATCTTCAAATCAGTAGCAGCTGAGAATGAAACATTTTCTGAAAAGATTTAGTGTTGGTTTTCCCAGATATTTGCAAAACTGTGTTTGAATCAAACACCGGATCCAATGGCTAACCCAGATTTCTGTGTAGCAGGCTGCTGTAATTTCCATCTCTTCCTTTGGTCTCATTCTTGGACTTTGTACATCCATTACATCCAACAGCCCAAATTACAACTAGCACTGATGGTACCTTTTCTGGGTATAGCACTGAGGCTCCTAGGACCGAAAAATGGCAAGGACAGAGCTGAATTTATACTGGTCATGCAAGATCTCAGTTCCCCAGGACAACTTACAAAACACCTGAATTTCAGTGCACGTGCTCTGCAGACATTTGATAATCCCTTAAAACACATCAGTTCAGTACCAAGGACTGAGGGTAAGTAGCTTGTATTGAGGAATGGATGGTAAAACTGGTACAGTGCTGCTGCGAACTTTGAAGCAAGGCATCCAGCTGACAGGCCCATGGAGAAAAGGTAATTTATTAAAAAGTTAACTAACACCTTGCCATCAACAGAAATTCATATGTTCAGCCTCTAACAACACCAGCTTCTCAGACTGGCTTCTTCTCCCATAAGTACAGAGACAGCAAGAGTAAATAGCTATATTACATGGAAGAAATGTGATAGGCAACAGTGTTTGTATATATATACGTGTGAATACGATGCATATATAATAAATGTATACACTGCATGTGTAAACAGCAGATTTGGAAACACTTAAATGCAACTAGCATTCTAGTAGAGAGCTACCATGTGTCATTCATGCATGCGTTAAACTTCACATACACACCTCGGCTGTTTACTGCACTGATGCTAGGATAAGTTCCCAGCCTGATTGCTCGGCTCCACAGACCGGGACCAAAACTCTGCTCTGCTCCTGTAGAGTAAGAGATGCCCATGAGTCTGAAATTTTTAAAACAGAATTTGGAATTGACAGTAGCAAAAAATGGTGCTTCTAAAATATTTATGGAAACATTTTACTTCAAGCATTTGGAGGCTGGTCAGGCTTCTGAAAATAAAAACAAAACAAAACAAAACCCTGAAAGAAACTAGTGTGGTTTTCTGTTGTCTTATGGCTGCTTTTTTTCCTCTTTTAGCTACAGGAAAGAAAATACCAGGAAATGATTCTAAACCCCAAGTTTAAACCTCTCACATAGTCCCCAGGACTCTCCTTCCCTGTGGATGAACAGATCTGACTACAGCATGTCTTTTGAAAAGCCATTCTTGAAATTCATCTTGAACATTGATGTTTGCTTCTGTATTTTACAGGCAACAACTTGTGTTCTGAATGCAGTAGAAGCAGCCTCTTCAAACAGATTTTACAATAGGTTTGGGCAAAGTTTTCCTGAGACCATCTTCTCCCCACACCTCCTTTTCCTTTTGCCATATGAGCAGGGCACTTTTTTTTTTTTTTTTTTTTTTTTTTTTTTTTCTGAGGTGGTTAAACTAATTTGTGGAGACAAGCATGTAACATGTACACTGTAAGAGCCAGCATTTAACTTCCTGGTAGAAACATTTCTCGTGAAGGACTGGCAATGCTTTGGCAGATTTTTGGGTAGAGGAAGGAGAGGGGGATGGAAGTGAACAGAAGGTAAAAAGGGGGGATTTTTTTTGTTCAATACTGCTGCCAGTAAATATGTGATACCCACTAATACTGGTTTCAGACTAGACACCAGTGAAACAACTTGCTCGAGAGAACTTATACCAACTTGTATTTGCTCATGTTGCCTTTCCTTCTTTTAAATATAGATATTGAAGGAAGGCCTTTGGTGGCTGTATTCTGGCTGTATTTTTGTGTTCTCTCGCAGCACAGGCGCTGGAAACTGACGCACATTAACCACAGCCAGCATCACTCAGGTGAGGCACAGGAGAAGCTTTAACAGCTTTGTTGTCAGACAGAAACCATAAGAAATAATGATGGTTTTCCACATATACCCAGCACAATAGCTCAGAATAGATCAGCAATGAGCCTCACTGGCTACTTTTTTTACCTGCCAGGACTAGTGCTGATGGCCACAATGCTTTAACGCTTCACATTCCCAAGGACACCAAGCCTGTGGCCCCCAAAATTTAAGGTTTTACCATTGAGTGTGGACTTGGGCAGTAACCTGAAAGCAGAAGACACACTGCAAAGTCACACCCTATTTGTATGGCAGTAACATATCCCGTACCCAGATCCGAGCCGTTCCCACCTAATGCTGGTTTTATAACACACAGTACCACTCAGGAGCTCTCTGTCAGCAGACCCCTGGAAGTGAATTACTGACGTGGGAAGCCACAGGAGAAGAAATCCAACAGAAACATCTCTTTATTTTGTAGCTGAAATGAAAAAGCATCCCCTAAGGGTGCAGCAGTGCGTGGAGCCCAGCGTTGTGCTCTTAGGTGCCTCTTTCGTTACCTTGACTGCTGTGAGCTCTGGATCCAGCCTCAAACAGGCCCATGGGAGAGCAAAGACAAGAAAGCCTCAACCCCCTACACAAAACCTGCTGCTAGGGCATGGTATTTTCCAGAGATTTACATTCTACTCTGATTTATCTGAAGCACTTAAAAGTTCTCCTGAAGGAAGAGCTCTCACTTGTGCCAAGTCTCAGATTTCTACTCCCTGTTTCATCAGCTGTAGAGCTATTCTAAAACACATTTCAACAATTATTTTATAATGGAAACTATATAGTTTTTCCCCTTCTTCATGTCTTGCTAGGAAACTGATTTATTTTTTTTAAAGCTCGAGCTGACTCCAGGCAGTTTCAGTATTGCTATTGAAGTTCTCTACTCCTCAGTTGCCTGAGGTTTTATTTGGTGCACCCTAACAACCATAACAGGTTTTCATTTCAGAATCTCATCCCACAGTGTTCCTCATTATTGTTTCATGAAATACTTTCTCACAACAGTTGCAGAGGGCCGGTAGGTATCACTGCCTTTCACTGTCTCTGCAAAAGAGAGTTATCTGTCATGACCACGAAGCCAATGGCAAAAACAACGAAACAATCCAGGTACTCCACACTTTATCTACCAAGCCATAAGAGCAGTGTCCCTTTCCAGCAGGTCCCTCGCTTTGTACATGTCACAAAACTTCAGTACTGAAAGTTTCAGGTAGCCAACAAAACCTCTCTACCCGTTTGCCATGTCCTCCTCGGTCAGGCACTGGGACAGGTTGCCCAGGGAGGTGGTGGAGTCACCATCCCTGGGGGTGTTCAAGGAGAGGTTGGACGTGGTGCTTGGAGACATGGGTTAGTGGTGCCATTATGGATAGGGGGGCGGTTGGTCCCATCTTACCAGTAGGGACCAAGGCAAAGGGGTTATCTTGACTGTAGCGAGGCTTTAGATGCTGTCTTCAAAAAAGACATGAAGTAAGGGCTAGACAAATGCCCAAAGAGTTGTGCTGCATCGAGGATTGCATTAGGCAGCACTAGGCCTTCACCAGCAGGTCAAGAGAGGTGGTCCTTCTCTGCTTGGCACTGGGGTGTTGTGTCTCATTCTGGGCTCCCCAGTACAAGGCAGGCATGAACATACTGGAGTGAGTCCAGCAATTGAGTGAGTGGACAAACTGGAGCAAGTCCGTGAAGATGATGGACTGGAGGATCAGTGTGGGGCGAGACAGAGAGAGCTGGGAGTTTTCAGCCTGGAGAAGAGAAGGCTCAGGGGCATTTTGTCAATGTCTATGAATACCTGATGCGAGGAGTAAAAAAGGCAGAGACAGTCTTCACAGTGGCGCACAGTAACAGGAAAAGAGGAAATGGGCACAAATTGAAATACAGGAAATTGCACTTAAAAAAAAAAAAAAAAAAAAAAAAAGCTTTTTTACTGTGAAGATTCTCAAAAAACAGAGCAGGTTGCCCTGAAAGGGTGTGGAGTTTCCATCACTGAAGATTTTTAAAGCCAGGCTGGACACAGCTGTGAGCAGCCTGCTGTAGCTGACCCTGCTAAGGGCAGGGGAGTTGGATGAGATGATCTCCAGAAGTGCCTTCAAACCTCATCCATGCTGTGGCTCTGCGTTCCTATGGTATTGCTTGTAAGTGCCTCTGATCCTCAGCTCCTGGCCTGTGGCATGGGCAGCAAAGGAGCAGCCTGCCCCTTCTTCAGTGAGGCTAAACTCTCATCAGTTCTAGTCACATCACTCACAGTACGCACAGATACGATGGCTGGGAGCTCAGTGCACAATTTCATCTGCCACCCCTGTCCAGGGACAGGAGTCTCCACGGTGCCAGAGCAGTAATCCCCTCAAATCACACCAGCCCAAATGCTCAAGAATATGTTAGAGCATTTCTATCTGCTTTGAACTGATGCAAGGAAAACAGCTTAATACACTGATAGAAAAAGAAATAATAAAATAAAGTTATTTATGTTTTTATCAAGCTCCCTTTCAATTGTTGAGATAAGGTGGACTAAATCCAGAGGAACTGCAAGTTTTCTTTTATTAGTGATAAAATCTAAGTTGTGGTTGGAAACATCAAGGGGATTGAATAGGCTTAACAAAGAGACTCCTAAATTCCTCAGGAGACCTGTGAGTGTGGAGTCCAGATCTGTCAGAGCTAGGAAGCGCGTGGCACGTTGCCAGCAGTCAGCTCAGCAGCCTTTGGAGAAGAAAAAACCACCTTTTTGTTCAACATCCCTTGGTAGCTTGCCAACCTCCTTGTTACTCACTAACTCAACTGTCTCTAGAACATACACTCTCTGGTCTAAGCCGTGAGATTCAAAACACGGCTTAATAAGTAAGCAGCAAGGAGATGGGAATTACACCATATCAAAACTTTTCAGGGGACACAGATGGTTCAGCTCCTTGACAGCATGATGCCCCGGCTAGTCAATGAGTTTTGCGTGGTGGAGCCACTACTTTGCAGGCACTGAGTCCTCCTCGTTAGCAGTCTGACCTCTTCCCTTCTGGAAAGCAATGGGCTTGCAGGGACACAGAGGGGTAGTGCAGAGGGAAGGACCAAGGGGAGAAAAGCCAAACAAGGGGAGCAGATGGAAGAGCAGCTGGCAAACAAGTCTGAAGCCATGAAATCCCACCTGTTTTCCAGGCACCTCTGCCCCAAGGGGATTCCTGGAAATCGCACTGAGCCTCTGTGGAAGGAGAGGTGGATTTCCCCGATCTGACAGAGGGCCGCTTGCTGCCAGGTCTCATGTTCATTCCCAAAAGTGCAGGGAAGCTGAGCGCCTACCCTCTCCCATAATTTCTCTAGAAATGTTCTCAGAGAGGTTGAAGCATCCTGAAAAATTAGCTCCATTTTGACCCTGGGTGTTTCTGTTCAGGTGGCTGGAGATTGCTGAAGATACAGGGCTCTGCCAACAAGGTCACTTCAATAAATATAAAGTCTCCACATACAGCAGCAATTAGTACCGTGTAAAGAGACATAGGATAAAATGCTCTTGCACCAGTAACTAACAATACTGTATTATAATCATAGTGATCACGAGTCTCTCTTCTTCCCCTTCAAAAAATCCCAAATTTACATTTATTCTATTTTCATTCATGCCTGTCACTGGAGAAGCTCAGCCATGATCACAGGTGACAAAGCCATTTCCAAAGCTAGCCAGAGACCCTGTGGCACACACTACAAGGGGTGGGGGAAGAAAGGGATACAAGGGCAAAGGAAAGGATGTTCCCAAACACGTTGTTTGCTCTGAAACGTTAAACATTTTGCAGTTGCCTTGACCATTTGCAGAGTGCTCTCTATAAAACATTCATCATTTGCTATCCCATTAATCACAGTAAGTGAATCAGTAAATAGCAGTGATGAATGTAAGATATGTGTCAGCAAACACTGATTTTTTTTTTTCTAAACAAAACTCTGTCTAGCTCTAGAGGAAACTCTCAAAAAAAAAAAAAAAAAAAAAAAAAAGGCTGCATGCTCACAGATCTCAGCAAAATGTGCACAAGAATCCAGGGTTTGGCTGGTTCTCCTGCGTCTGGGAATTCAGTGATTTGCGATGCTTCACTTTTTTTAATTTCAAGTAGCAATGTGAGTTTGCTTCTTCTGCAGCGCAGAGTGTATTGGCGGTGTCATTTCCCTTGAATA